GGGGGCCGCATCTGGCCCCCGGGCCTTAGGTTGCCTACCCCTGCATTGAATGTATGGCTGTCCAAATCTCTGTTGTCTTTGGTCCCTCTAATCCAGAGTTGAGAATTGTGCAGGGCTCCAGAGGCTGCTGAACTGGAACTTCCAGCAGCCCTAGCCAGCATTGCCAATGGTGATGAATGCTGGGAGTTGCAATCCAGCTGGAGGGCTACTTAATTCCTATCACCGCCTCTTTGAGATCAAGGACTTAACAAAATTTAAGATGATTTATCAGGAACCATATTCCAATGATGAGTGGAATGGAAAAGGATGGAATCAAGAATTCCAAACATATTTTAGTTTTAAATTCTTACTATCAGTAACTAAGCCTTGGGAGAGGTTTTCCCACTTCTTGAATGGTGAAATGCAGTGAATGACTGAGAAGCTACCAAGTTCAGGTTTTATAGGGAAAGGGTGTGGACCTCCAGGGAAAACCAGGATATTATTGCAGCAATAATAAAACTGGCTTACCTGAGCCGGCTTAAAATTTAAAATGGGTGGCATCCTGATGTTATCAGAAGGATTTAGCCACTGAAATCACTGTCTGGATCCAGCCCTGCTCCCAGAGGTACTCAGTGTGCCTTTTTTCGAAGCTGGCAGTTTTCTGGCCTAAGGAAATGTCTGCTGGAGTGGCTCTGGGAGCAGCGATGGACCTGCAATGGACTCAGGCAGCAATTTCAGTGGCTAAATCCCTCTGATAACATAAAGATTTTAAGCCAGCTCAAGTAAGCCAGTTTTATTATCGCTGCAATAAGCTCCCCAAATTTGGCCTGAGGTTCTTCGTCTCTGTCCAGCTTCTGCTTCTCCCAAGAATTGTAATAGCCTATCTGAGGCAACACAGAAGGATCCACACATTCAGGCCATGTGGCTTCATTAGAGGCACAACAACAACATCGACATGGCAATAATACCCTTTCCAATGTGTCTCTCCTGGTGTCACTGCTGTCTCAGTACAGTGGCTCTGAAGTAACTTTGCCCAGCATTATGAAAATTTTAATGGTTAGAAAAGGCCTTTGGAAAAAGTGCTGGTTCAGCAGATGCTTCAGTAGAACTGAGCACACACACACACGTACACACACACTGTGCAACACTTAGGAAGAAAGGCAACTCTGTTCACTTTCTAATTGAATTGCTGATGCAGAGATGATCAACAGGGAAGAGCTCACAGTGTAGCCAAAGTCTGTCATTATTTCTTGGCCCTTTCACTCCCAGGGTTAGTGAAGTTTAAAAATGGTAAAAGGAGATCCTGCCTTTCTGATCAAAAATACCATCCAGATCTTGAATTTTATAATCAGACTTACACTACAGTCCTACTTCATTGGGACTTACTTTTGAGTAAGCTTGCATATAGGTAGGCTAAAAATACAAGGAAATCACTTCATTCAAAACCATCTTTATTCATTAACCTTGTAATAACCTTGACTACACCACATCTAAATACAGATACAAAGATTTTGTGTAACTTTCTTGTTAGGAATAGGAATTTGCAAGTTCTGATACAAACTGACCTGATCTGCACCTCTCAGAGAAATGAATAGAATGAAATAAAATTTCATACTTCTCTGAATGTTGCAGTGTATCTCAGCTAAAAAATGTATCAAAATACTTAAAATGTATGCTTTGTGAGAGAGGTTTTCTAGAAATGCATTTCTGATACAAAATCTAGAAATATATATTAAAATATATATTTGAATTTACATTTAAAATGTATATTTTGTGAGACAATATTTCTAGAAATGCATTTGATACAAAATATGTAAGTCTAGAAATGTGTATCAAAATATACATTTAAATTCAAATTTTTGTAGAGTTTTTTTTAGTACTTTTTAAATGGAAGGTTACTGTCAAAACAAGATGATATGGACAAATGAAAGAATACGTGTGAAAGTGACATGGATCACAGATAAAGTAATCCATCTGTGCCTATTTGGGAACAGAGGCACAGAGCACCTGGAGACTTAGCATTACTGATAACAGTTTTCTTCTATCATCAAACCTGAAATCAGGCAATCCATCTCTCTTTCTTAAGACTGCAGAGATAAGTAAAGATTGATCAATACATTCAGATTGTTCTGTTTGGGCTCTTGCATGCTGCATTTGTGTAGCATATCTACTGCAATGTAGACAGTTACTAGCTAAGGTTACTAATTATTTCGTTTTGAAATTTCCCATAATAAAAATTCAACTATAATAAAGAAAATAAGTAAACACTTGCTGCCCTTTCATAACAACACAAAATCTACCAGCTATGGTGGCTGCCTCATTCTGCTTAATAGTAGTAGGGCTTTCCCTGTGGCCCATCTCGACTCCCATATGATGATATCAAGAAACCCAAAGCTTGAGTGGGGTGGCCAGGCCCTTGGGCAGTTAAAAAACCCCAGAGACTCTTTGAGCATGAGTCTGAGCTTTCCCATGCACTGCAGGAGATCAGAGAACCTTGACAGGACTGCTGGGACATATTTAGTGGTAGAATTCAAAAATATAGCAATATTATTCTGGATCAGTATGCAAAGGGATCCTGTAGCACCTGAGGAAGTAGCATCTAGAATGTTGTTGGGTTTTGTCTCTTTCAATAATAATGTGTCCTAAACACTGAGCTTGAATTCCAAAATCCAAAATACTTCCATATGCCAAAATACTCCAAAATCCCAAATTGTCCACAAGGATGGCTGAGATAGTGGCATCTTTGGTTTCTGATGGTTCAGTATACACAAAACTTTGGTTCATGCACAAAACTATTTTTTAAAATATTATATATAAAACTACCTTCAGGCTATGGATGTTATCACACGGGGAGAAAGTGGAAATAAACCGG